AGTGTAATAGGGTTTTCAGATTTTTTTATAATACTATTTGGCACATTTATTTACCATGGTCTCGGAATATGACATCCAAGCAGAGTGGAGGATTTGTGAAAAGTTTATCAGAATGTATATTAACTTCGTCACCCTTCACAGCAAATCGATACAATAACAATTGTAGTATATTAATATATGTACTCTAACACTTTTCAATAATTAGCTTGTATAAAGTTCGAAGCTAATGTCTATTAGATTGAACATGATCAACGATGGAGGAAGTCATTCCAATAGAGCATGGAACCGAGAGTATATCTCTTACACGTTTTGTAAATTTATCGTTGATTTTTTTAGCTGTATTTAGAACACGTAACCTTTTAGACCAAACATAGTATAACAATTTGCGACTAACTTCGGTCTCCTGAGGCTAGCAAAAACTAGCGAGATATTATGGTCATAAGTTTTTGCATCATGACACTGCATATTTCTAGTTAGACCTGTATGTTATACTTTCTATATTGTTTACTCAGATAATTCTTAGTTCTGATTTGTGTAAATGGCTTGTTTTGATCAGAGTTACCAATAGGAAGGTGACGGAGTTTATTTTTTTACTCATGTGTGTGTGTGTGTTTGTCAGCAGGATGTCTCGAAAACGACTGAATGGATTTAGACGAAAGTTGATATTCATTTGACATATGAACCAAATTAGAAGTGATTAGTTTTGGAGGTTCATTGCCAAAGGTCAAGGTCACAACAAGGTCACGAAAATAAAAAAATAATCCCAATCTGTTAACATGATCAGATTTTGATGAAACTTGATGGAAATATATAGAATATTATTCCTCATTGTCGTGTCAAAAATTTTTGAGAGCCGAATATGATCAACGCTGCGTGGCGGATGTATACTCTCTACCGAGTGTCCCCTTAGGTCTGTACTGAAATCGTAAGATTTTATATAGGGATAGCAGTTTTATTCTCATGATTTCTCAGAAAGTATAAAATAAATTCTAATACATAAAACTGGATAGTTAATGTTATAGTACAATGATACTTCCTACCTTATATCGGTTTTAAAATATAATTGCAGTTAGGCTACTCAGCTTTCGCGTTCCATCCTACAAGTCGTTTCAGGTTTGCATATTTATTATCAATCAGAACCTGCGAGATAAATTTAAAAAAAACGTGAATAGTAATATATAAACTACACTATATCTGCTATGCCCAGTGGCCGAAGAGGCCTTCAACGTGATACTAGGAATCTGTTGGCTGGCTAAGATACGACAGACACAGTAGTAGTTGAGATGCTATTTATATTAGCAGACCGCTCGACAACTGTTACGATATGAGTTAGATAAGGTTGGTGAGATGTAATTTTTCATAAATGTTATTATGTCACAACCTATCAATACCAAGGTAAGCATTCTTTCACACTGTATATTTGTTTGTTAATTTATTTTAACGTTATATATTATTAATTATTCCTTTTCCGAATTAACCTGCTCATTATTCAGAAAAAACGGTAAGCTAGTCTTCTAGATCTCGGAGTGTGTCAAACGACCACAGTGTCATCGAGACAAGACTACATTAGTGGATATTAATAAGAATTCTCAGTGAAGGTCAAGAATAGTGTATAATAATATGTCAACTGCCCTATATCTGTTGTATCCATAGTGTATAATAATATGTCAACTTTCCCATATATATGTTGTATCCATAGTGTATAATAATGTCAACTGCCTTATATCTGTTGTATCCATAGTGTATAGTAATATGTCAACTGCCCTATATCTGTTGTATCCATAGTGTATAATAATATGTCAACTGCTCTATATCTGTTGTATCCATAGTGTATAATAATGTCAACTGTCCTATATCTGTTGTATCCATAGTATATAATAATTTCAACTGCCCTATATCTGTTGTATCTATAGTGTATACTAATATGTCAACTGCTCTATATCTGTTGTATCTATAGTGTATAATAATATGTCAGCTGCTCTATATCTGTTGCATCCATACTGTATAATACTATGTCAACTGCTCTATATCTGTTGCATCCATACTGTATAATACTATGTCAACTGCTCTATATCTGTTGCATCCATACTGTATAATATTATGTCAACTGCCCTATATCTGTTGTATCCATAGTGTATAATACTATGTCAACTGCCCTATATCTGTTGCATCCATGCTGTATAATACTATGTCAACTACCCTATATCTGTTGCATCCATACTGTATAATACTATGTCAACTGCCCTATATCTGTTGCATCCATACTGTATAATACTATGTCAACTGCCCTATATCTGTTGTATCCAATGCGCCGAGGCCTTTTGCCCAATATCAAGCTCTTGAGGCCGACTGGGTTACGACAGGCATCGTATTGATTACTTAATCGTTCTTTCATGACATTTTGCTTATTCGTTTGTTGAATTTCGCACAAAGCCACACGAAAGCTATCTAAACTAGCCATCCTTAATTTTTAAACGATAGACTAGAGTAAAGGCCATTAGTCAACACCACCCACGGTCAACTTTCGTCTGTTCGATTAGTGGGATTTTACAGTTACTCTCATAAGGCACCAATGGCCCCAGAATTAAGAGTTCGATGTTACTGTTTTTGCGGTACTAGAACGCAAAACACGTAACATCAGGTGTACAGTCTAACATGCTAACCGGTGGGCCACGCCGGCCCAACATTTATCTAAGGTATTATGATTACCAGGCAAAGTAAGAAACATCTACGGTTTAATAATATATATTAAAAATGGAGTTTGAGAATACATATCATAAGCATTCATAAAAACATAACAAACAAACAATGTATGTCTATAGTTAAACAGAATTTATTTGTCTGAAATCAAATAAAACGTAACTGATTATAATATTTTCGTTTAGGTCATAAATCTTTTTTTAAGTGAAAGTCGTACTGTTCGATAATAAAATACAATTTAAAGCATTCTTTGTAACATATCAAACATCATTTTGTGTTAAAATCTGTAAGAGAGTTAATAAGCCCTCATTAATACAATTTCCTACTGTCGTATTAACGTGATGTGTAAAAAACGGTTACGTTTGATTTTGAGGTCAAGAAACTCATACCTCAGTTAGGCATAACAAACACCAGAACGTTTTATTCTATCAAAGAAACATAATAAAAACAAAAGTGAAGCTTCAGAATTTTCCTTTGAATGTCTGATTTGATCTATGTGTAATTATGTAAAAGTGGTACTGAAGTACGTACTGTAACAGCTTTTAACATCTAACTGTTAAAGAGGTCCCCTGGCGGTACAGCGGTAAGTTTACGAACTTACAATGCTAAAATCCGGGGGTCGATTCAATGTGGTGGACGCAGCAGAGAGACAATTCATTAACATTTTGCCTAAGAAAATTACCGTTTGTTACTATGATAGAACACGAGACACTTTGTAATTAACAACATGATATATATCACATCGGTATTCTTAAAATCCAATGTATTCAGTTTCATAATTAAAATGCTTTCGAAACGATCGGTTATATTGGAATTTGATATCGGTTAATTAATACATTACACTATTAATAAAGAAACTTCTGAGAATCTGTTGTAAGTCAGGACCGAGCGCAGCAAACTAGTTAGACTGTGGAGCTGAGGTTCCACAGTCCGCATCCCGTTAACGCCAAAAATAAAAATCACACTTGGCGCTTTGGGGCCGTAGAGGAGGGTCAAGAGTGACAGTCAAATCCCACTATTCGGTCTGCCAAGTGTATCCCAAGAATTGGCGCTGGATAATATTCACTAGTTGTTTTTCCTTTTATTCTATCAGTTCACAAATCAGATACAGTTAGCCCTCGTGTAAGTTTGCGCGAAATCCAGTAAATAAATACAAATGAAACCTAGGACGAAATTCATTTAAATATCGTAATGAAATCTGTCCTCTCAAGTTTTAGTATTTATAATTTTTTTCTTGTATTATCGTTTTTCTTCTGAACACAAAGAAATAAGTTTTATAGCTCACAAATAACGAGACTAATTACAAACATAACTTATCTAAATGAGCTTTTTTGGTTAGCAACTTTAATAATTTTTGTAAATATTATACTGTTATACATATATTAATTATTACTAAAAAATGCTGCTGATTACTTCATAAATGATTATACAGTAAAGAATGAATCATGAAAAGTGATCGGTTAACGTACGGGGCTGTATATCGGTGGGTTCAGTGTTTGTGCAGGGCTTTTTCGGAACACGTTTAGCACTTTTAGCTATAGGTGCATTCGTTATAAAAATGATATAGTCGATTTCATTATTCGGCTCAAATCTTGACAAAGCCTTCGTGGGGGCAGCTGCTGCTGAAATTACGGACAGCTATACCTGAACCATGGGGGAGGGGAATATCTGATCTGGTTGTTTAACCCATGAGTTTGTTTGTTTTGGAATTTCGCGCAAAGCTACACGAGGGCTATCTGCGCTAGCCGTCCCTAATTTAGCAGTGTAAGACTAGAAGGAAGGCAGCTAGTCATCACCACCCACCGCCAACTCTTGGGCTACTCTTTTACCAACGAATAGTGGGATTGACCGTCACATTATAACGCCCCCACGGCTGAAAGGGCGAGCATGTTTGGTGAGATGCGGATTCGAACCCTCGATTGTGAGTCGAGCGCCTTATCCACCTGGCCATGCCGGGCATAACCCATGAGCGCATAAAGCGTAGTTCAGGTTGAAAATATCAATCCAGCAAATATTTTTCAACCCATAAAAGCTGTTATATATAATTGAAAAATTATTCTTAACAATTCCTGATTCTAGAAAATGAAATGGAGAATTATAATGTATATTATTTAATCTTTTGTTAAACTTCGCAACATAAAACATGTAGAGAGCTTGAATTACGCATTTGTATTTATTATTTTTTACACCTATAACAATTCCTTTCTCAACAGATTAAATGAAATGACTAGAACCAAGTAGATGAGCAAACATGAAAACAAAGATTGATTTGTAACTTATTTATAATAACAGAACATAAGCACTCTCGGTTTTATCGTTTGTCAATTATAAATTCTATATACATCGAATTAGGTGTTTGTTTCGATTTTTTTTATACGTTTTATTTTGCAATTTAATGCAAATATACAGTTATATACCGTGATATTTACCTTTTCATGATATATAGGTATTTCATGTAGCATCTTTTAGATCTAAGTATATACAGTATTATGAAATAAGGAGTTAGTAGAGTATAATATTTACGAACATTATAGTTCATAACCATCACTAAATCCAATGAATAATTTTCAATACAGATGTTTTCTTTTAAACAGCTAACAGCTTATCTTCTTGAGAAGAGTACGTCATCAATGGTTCACTATTGTAATTTCGTAAAAGTTTTTTTTTCTCTTCTTTCTCTTGAATAAGCATGTTCATTATAAGATCTGTAATCTCCTCTCTTGGATAGAATAGCAATATTACAGAAAGTATTGTGAAAGAATACGGGAACCCTGTGAAAGAATACGGGTAGAGAGCGTTTCAAATCAATTATTGCCACATTACATTACACTTGCACAATTATGCTGAAGGTGGAGATAATAGCTTTTGTTCGAAGGTTATTGAAAGTCCAAAAGTCTGTGACTATGCAGGACGTAGATACTTACTTGATGCGACTGGATATCAATCGCTGTCATGGTTAGTAGCCTATACGATCAAATAGTTAATTGATCAAAATTCTAATCGAGGGATAACTCAGTCGAGTGGATAACGCACAAGATTTCCGTCAAGTAGACCCAGCATCGAACCCCTACTATGTCAACACAGAAACAGTCCTTCTCAGGACTCCAGATTAGCGCCCCGAAATATAGGGAAAAAATAGTTATATGTGTATATAAAACTATGTACTAATGAACAATTAGCTTTAGATGATAGCATAGGCAACTAACCATACAAAGTAAACACGAGTATCTGTAAACTGTAGTGATTATATTATGTTAATGAGAGAATAATATGAACGTAGAAGAATTTACATAATCACTACGTTACGTGAAGGTAACCATACACGTTTTAGACAAATTGTAATAATTGCACCATTTCGTTCAGACTTTTTTTTACGCAAGATTTGTGCTTCTATGTTACATCCAAGTCTACAAATTATTACAAAATTCATAAGACTAAAATAGAAACAGTAAGAATTGTTCATGTATCCGACATAACTAATCCACTAGCATCACACTTCTCAAGTCGTGATTATCTACCGAACAATCTCGAAGGAATGTTTCGTTTTCCTAACATAAATTCATGTTCAAGTAGAACTGGTTATTTTGCCTGTACCTTAATACAATAATGTTTCGAACAAAAAAGTACGAGCTGTAGAGTTTCACTTTTCTTTGCCTGATCTTTCTATTGTTGAAAGGAACATTGTTGATATTGCAACGGCTCCTTTTTTCTTTATTTGTTTACTCAGAACAATAATATATTCGAAGTAGGAGTTAGAGTTATTTTACAATCAGAACAGACTATTTGGTTATTAATTCATAGGAAATCACAGCTGTAAGGGAGAATCTTGGGTCATCTTGACTTGCCTTGGATTTTTTTTCAGCATTTAAACTCAGATATCTAATTGTTTTGAAAGAGAAGAAGGTGTTATCAATCGTCTAGACATCAAAGATTCTTTGGTCGGTGATGAAGAAAACTGTACTGGGCAGTTACTTGAAGAACAACTACATGTGGCGGAAGGTAACGAAGAGAGGCTAGTAGAAACTGCTGATGGCGTTGGTGTAAACTTGAAAATTGGTGAAATGACACGAGTGCTACCAGACTGACAAGGCAGTACCCTATCTGACAATCCTCTCGCTGCGTGAGGAAGCAAGTAGGGAGAATAACGGAAATCCTTACTCGGATTATGGCCGTCATACCCTAACCTTTCAGTTGGTGTAGGGTACAAGAAACGATGATCGAGAGTTGCAGAATGGAGCGAAAGAGAAGGAAAACATAATCTCGACCACAGTGCTTTCGGATCCATGCACGGTAAAATATTGTTATTACCAACGTGCGAGCTGAATAGGGATTGACAGTGAATGGGAGAATTCCTCAACTCGGACTGAACATGAGATTCTGTTGATGAAATGGTATCAAGATCATTTCCCGGACTCTTGTTTTTTGGTTTTTCCAGGTTTATAGGTTCAGAGGATATGTCTTTCGGTTCCTTAGTCGACGCTTTTTCAGTTTCTAATTTACTGAAGTCCTCGGAGGGCAGACCTGTAAAAAAAAACAGAAAACAAAAAACAACAACTTTGTACTTGGAAATTGAAGATTTTGTAGATTAACTAAAACAACTTTTGTCACTAAATATACCGCAATATACTGAGTAGATAAGTAGAATATTATACTTTTTAACGCTAGATAACTTGACTCGTCCAATAGGAAATGTCAAGGACAAAAACGAAGCATGCCTGAACGACGGTACAAAAAAAAGTAATATCTTTCTATTCAGTCTGCGGATACAAAATAAAGTGTCATATTAACATTTTTCATGTAAGATTAAACAAAAAGAAAGAAAGAAATTTAACGCCAAGGTTCGCAATGGACTCTGTCAACCACGTGGAATCAAACCTCGTATACATAGCTTTATAAGTTAATAAGATTACTGCTGGTCCATCGGGGAGGACAATAAAAAAAAACCAACAACAACAACAAAACAGAAGGACAAATAAATCAGGTCAAGTTCAAAAATAATAAAATACCTGCAACGGCCCTTACACACCCAGACTTCGTCGCCGAGACACAGTCGCGTGGATCGCCTTTAGCTAACAAAATAAATATATTGCTTTGACTAAATTATAATTAGTTGAATTCAGATAGATAAATCTAAAACATATTCTATAACTTCTGCTCATCGAAGTTTGAATTTCATTGAGAAAGTCCAAACAGAATTAAAAAAATTAAAGCTTATTGTTAAGCACAAAAACTACACAATGAGCTATCTGTACTTTGTACACTGCAGGGATAGAGCTCTGAATCTTACTAAGTTTACCGCTGCGCCGGCGGGAGCATTAAATGAATTGGCGAGTACGCTCTAGCAGAATACGGCAGTCACCTTTATAATAACTTAATAAATACGGCTTTTAGTAGAAGCATAAACGTATAGTGTACTTTATACATTATGAATTTATGATTAACGAAACCATAATGACGGAAAAACAATTTGAGAAAAGTAGTATCAACCTGGAAAAATTCGTAAAACAAGCTTCTAAATGCCAGATGCACAAATAAGACATACGTAATATAGGAACTACAGATGTATACGCACTTATTAACTTACTGAATATGAAACAGTTAACAGGGAAATAGTATATCCTACCACATCTATCTCCAATTATGTTTTACCTATTGATCGTATTAGCGGGAAATGTACACCACGTCCGAAGCATTGATGGTTTTTATAATAGCCATTCATGTATTCGTGCATTATTTATGCATATCATAAATATTCATGTATACAAATGAGCTATTAAATACACTATACGTAATATTATATGCAAATTGACTAGATCTATCCGAAATATGAGCCTAAACGTTTTTTGTTGTTGTTGTTGTTGTTTCTGTTTACTCTAAAGGTTTAACACTTCAAATTATCGACTTGTTTTTATATATTTGTGATTCATATACTGAATTACTTTATGCTTTTTTTCCTGTTAGAATATCTAGTGTAAAGAACTTGTGAATAAAAAAATTGCGTGAAATCACCCATTTTTTGTATAAATACTAAGGGGCTCAAGCAGTAATTAGTGAGGTTAATTCCAATATTGATATTATTTATGTTTAATTTGTGTGTGTGTGTGTATGACTCATATGTTACTAGAGACCCCGTAAATAATTTGATGCATAAATAGTTAGTAAAAAAAAGTGCTTGAAATGCTGCTGAGGTCCACTTGGATCCAATCTATAACTCTATAAGGTTTGCAATAGTTTGTTACTTACGCGTGACTGAAGAAAGCTTTTTCAGGTTTGTTTCGTTCATGTTGATTTTATCACAGTTGCTATCGTCGTTTCTTTCTTCGACATTATAAGGAATATCTAGGCTGGACTTAAGTGACATCTGGTGGTCTGTGGGAGGATCTTTAGTAGACAAAAAGGCGACTACTGATCTAATAAAAATTTGATTGAGAGCTGTATGAGTTATCATGAACTATGATGAAAATATCTGATATAAATTAAGTATAACAAATTTATGGTGAATATTCATTCAATAAAACTAATGTATTAGAGAAATGTCAGTTCTTGGCAGGTTGATTGAATATTAAACGGTTTACTTCGTGACACGTATTAATTTGGGTTCTTACAATCTCCTAAATGACTACAAAATAGAAATATACATGTAAAATAAATGCTAATTACTGGTTTTTTATATTATTAATTATTTCTTTTTAAATTCATTAGTGTTTTTTTTTTACTTTATATACAAAGAGAGAGAGAGAGAGAATGACCCCTCCCCCTCCAAATCATTACCTCTATCATGATTTGAAATTTATATTGTTTATTATGCTCAAAGGAACACACATATATGACTTTTGGAAGCTTCATACAAGTAATACGGATTTTTGAATTTTTAAAAGTTGTTTTTAGTGAATAATGAATAGTGTTGTTAATCCACTGAAAAGGGTTTCAGAAATGAAATGGAATTTATCTTAGGAAACCTATAGTTATAAATAAATAAGTCCATTAAAAATTAGTTGAATTGGGGTTTATTTTGCACGAACTGAGGTGGAGTTAATACAACGTTACTCAGAAGTTGTTGAAACTGTGATTAATTCGAGATGAAGAAAACTACGTTTCTGCAAACACTATTAGAAAATGGATAACAAATAGGCTTAGTGGTGTACAGCAAAAAATATAATACACATATATATATATATGCGTTATTGTTGTGAAACGAAACCGAGTTTTTAGTGAAAACAATATGGCCGAGCGTGACCTAGACGTAAGCATACCGGGCAGCGATACAGAAGGACCAACGAGATTCGAGCCTTCAACAGGCCGTGGTTCAGCGCTGAACACGCTCTGTACTTTCATCTATAAAGGCATTATAACATTGACAGTTAATCATGCATTTCGATTTTGAGTAGATGAGTAGGCGGCTGGTGCTGCCGTATGTATGCCTTCCCGTTGGAAAACACTTCTAAAATTACGTTTCAATCTTACGAGGCTCTAACTTGGACGTTTAGTCAAAGTGTAGCTTGGCCGTTGAGTTGATGTGTCACGTTGAGCTAATGTGTTACGTAAAGTGGCATTCTGATTGAAAGAACCAAAACACGAAAATGCCATGCCAGAAAATAATACAGCATTACATTTATACGTATTTCTTAAGTTTAATTACTAAAATCGAAGCTGAAAAGAAGTATATGTTATGCATTTTTATACGTTATTTTACCCGTCAGGTTTTTATTTGTGAAACTACTTAATTTTGAAAACCTACAAAAGCCAAACATTCTAGTGTCTATTGCAATATTTAATATTTATGGACTGGTGTCAGAAGTTAATATTACGGTAATTGTTTCTTTAAATACATACAATTGTGACGCTTTTGAATAAAAAGAGTAAAAAGTAGGTCATAAGCTTGTTTAGTGTTCAGCTGAAATACTAAATATTTTCATTCCTTTTCTGCTGGAGTTTCTCAGCTAAGCAATAAGCAAATGATCTAACGATAGTCAAGAATACAAATTAAATAATAACTAGTGATGTTTGAGTTTTAGACTGCTGATTAATGAATGTTGTTATGTTATAAGGCCAGAACAGCTATAGCTCACTAAAATTAACATCTTCGTTATGAGATAACCGTGACTCTTGTTTCAAAGTGATTTTTAAGTATCTTTGTTCAGTGTTACTAGTGTTCAGTACATACCAACGTGTAAGGTTAGGTTATACGTACTTCCTATCTTCTTTTGCATTACGGACTTCTCGAAATCCTTTGGCAAACGGATTGTTATCAATCTTCAGTTTGGTTATCTGTGGGGAATTCATAACGGGAAACAAATTCAGAAACATTGAAGCCAATTTTTTTTTTTTCAAAATAATAAACTGTAAATAACAACTTAAAAGCTGTTGTGAAACATTAACATATATATATAAAAATTGAACTACTGATAAAGTACAATGATATGACAGTGGGACAGTGGTATTTCTACAGACTTACAACACTAAAATCTAGGGTTCGATTCACCGCGGTGGACACAGCTCTAAAACAAACAAACAGACATTTCTGTAATACTAAAAATATTTACAGTTACAGTAATGCTTGTCATGATGATGACAAACCTTGTACGAAACGTCGTACGTTTGCTTAGTTAATATTAAACTTATTAAGTTAAATTGTTTTCTTACTAGTTTCGACCCTAATTTACAAAC